CGACTCAGAATAGGAAAAGGAGACGTTTAGGTCAATTTTATGCATTCTGGCGTTCGTAGATACAAGAAAACTGTTAAAATTCTTCAGAAACGTCACTTTTGAAGTGTTTTCTTGTACTTTTAAGCCAATCAGATACCCTACGGGCTCGGAAAGTGCAACGAAACCATCAAATTTTAGCTAGAAACTGTATTTTTGTCGATTTTTATTGAATTTGAACTATATTTCAACGTTTTTTGATGGTTCTGAGCCACCAAACACACTTAAAGCATGCAGAATCGACTCAGAATAGGAAAAGGAGACGTTTAGGTCAATTTTATGCATTCTGGCGTTCGTAGATACAAGAAAACTGTTAAAATTCTTCAGAAACGTCACTTTTGAAGTGTTTTCTTGTACTTTTAAGCCAATCAGATACCCTACGGGCTCGGAAAGTGCAACGAAACCATCAAATTTTAGCTAGAAACTGTATTTTTGTCGATTTTTATTGAATTTGAACTATATTTCAACGTTTTTTGATGGTTCTGAGCCACCAAACACACTTAAAGCATGCAGAATCGACTCAGAATAGGAAAAGGAGACGTTTAGGTCAATTTTATGCATTCTGGCGTTCGTAGATACAAGAAAACTGTTAAAATTCTTCAGAAACGTCACTTTTGAAGTGTTTTCTTGTACTTTTAAGCCAATCAGATACCCTACGGGCTCGAAAAGTGCAACGAAACCATCAAATTTTAGCTAGAAACTGTATTTTTGTCGATTTTTATTGAATTTGAAGTATATTTCAACGTTTTTTGATGGTTCTGAGCCACCAAACACACTTAAAGCATGCAGAATCGACTCAGAATAGGAAAAGGAGACGTTTAGGTCAATTTTATGCATTCTGGCGTTCGTAGATACAAGAAAACTGTTAAAATTCTTCAGAAACGTCACTTTTGAAGTGTTTTCTTGTACTTTTAAGCCAATCAGATACCCAACGGGCTCGGAAAGTGCAACGAAACCATCAAATTTTAGCTAGAAACTGTATTTTTGTCGATTTTTATTGAATTTGAACTATATTTCAACGTTTTTTGATGGTTCTGAGCCACCAAACACACTTAAAGCATGCAGAATCGACTCAGAATAGGAAAAGGAGACGTTTAGGTCAATTTTATGCATTCTGGCGTTCGTAGATACAAGAAAACTGTTAAAATTCTTCAGAAACGTCACTTTTGAAGTGTTTTCTTGTACTTTTAAGCCAATCAGATACCCAACGGGCTCGGAAAGTGCAACGAAACCATCAAATTTTAGCTAGAAACTGTATTTTTGTCGATTTTTATTGAATTTGAACTATATTTCAACGTTTTTTGATGGTTCTGAGCCACCAAACACACTTAAAGCATGCAGAATCGACTCAGAATAGGAAAAGGAGACGTTTAGGTCAATTTTATGCATTCTGGCGTTCGTAGATACAAGAAAACTGTTAAAATTCTTCAGAAACGTCACTTTTGAAGTGTTTTCTTGTACTTTTAAGCCAATCAGATACCCTACGGGCTCGGAAAGTGCAACGAAACCATCAAATTTTAGCTAGAAACTGTATTTTTGTCGATTTTTATTGAATTTGAACTATATTTCAACGTTTTTTGATGGTTCTGAGCCACCAAACACACTTAAAGCATGCAGAATCGACTCAGAATAGGAAAAGGAGACGTTTAGGTCAATTTTATGCATTCTGGCGTTCGTAGATACAAGAAAACTGTTAAAATTCTTCAGAAACGTCACTTTTGAAGTGTTTTCTTGTACTTTTAAGCCAATCAGATACCCTACGGGCTCGGAAAGTGCAACGAAACCATCAAATTTTAGCTAGAAACTGTATTTTTGTCGATTTTTATTGAATTTGAACTATATTTCAACGTTTTTTGATGGTTCTGAGCCACAAACACACTTAAAGCATGCAGAATCGACTCAGAATAGGAAAAGGAGACGTTTAGGTCAATTTTATGCATTCTGGCGTTCGTAGATACAAGGAAACTGTTAAAATTCTTCAGAAACATCACTTTTGAAGTGTTTTCTTGTGCTTTTAAGCCAATCAGATACCCTACGGGCTCGGAAGGTGCAACGAAACCATCAAATTTTAGCTAGAAACTGTATTTTTGTCGATTTTTATTGAATTTGAACTATATTTCAACGTTTTTTGATGGTTCTGAGCCACCAAACACACTTAAAGCATGCAGAATCGACTCAGAATAGGAAAAGGAGACGTTTAGGTCAATTTTATGCATTCTGGCGTTCGTAGATACAAGAAAACTGTTAAAATTCTTCAGAAACGTCACTTTTGAAGTGTTTTCTTGTACTTTTAAGCCAATCAGATACCCTACGGGCTCGGAAAGTGCAACGAAACCATCAAATTTTAGCTAGAAACTGTATTTTTGTCGATTTTTATTGAATTTGAACTATATTTCAACGTTTTTTGATGGTTCTGAGCCACCAAACACACTTAAAGCATGCAGAATCGACTCAGAATAGGAAAAGGAGACGTTTAGGTCAATTTTATGCATTCTGGCGTTCGTAATTACAAGAAAACTGTTAAAATTCTTCAGAAACGTCACTTTTGAAGTGTTTTCTTGTACTTTTAAGCCAATCAGATACCCTACGGGCTCGGAAAGTGCAACGAAACCAACAAATTTTAGCTAGAAACTGTATTTTTGTCGATTTTTATTGAATTTGAACTATATTTCAACGTTTTTTGATGGTTCTGAGCCACCAAACACACTTAAAGCATGCAGAATCGACTCAGAATAGGAAAAGGAGACGTTTAGGTCAATTTTATGCATTCTGGCGTTCGTAGATACAAGAAAACTGTTAAAATTCTTCAGAAACGTCACTTTTGAAGTGTTTTCTTGTACTTTTAAGCCAATCAGATACCCAACGGGCTCGGAAAGTGCAACGAAACCATCAAATTTTAGCTAGAAACTGTATTTTTGTCGATTTTTATTGAATTTGAACTATATTTCAACGTTTTTTGATGGTTCTGAGCCACCAAACACACTTAAAGCATGCAGAATCGACTCAGAATAGGAAAAGGAGACGTTTAGGTCAATTTTATGCATTCTGGCGTTCGTAGATACAAGAAAACTGTTAAAATTCTTCAGAAACGTCACTTTTGAAGTGTTTTCTTGTACTTTTAAGCCAATCAGAGACCCTACGGGCTCGGAAAGTGCAACGAAACCATCAAATTTTAGCTAGAAACTGTATTTTTGTCGATTTTTATTGAATTTGAACTATATTTCAACGTTTTTTGATGGTTCTGAGCCACCAAACACACTTAAAGCATGCAGAATCGACTCAGAATAGGAAAAGGAGAGGTTTAGGTCAATTTTATGCATTCTGGCGTTCGTAGATACAAGAAAACTGTTAAAATTCTTCAGAAACGTCACTTTTGAAGTGTTTTCTTGTACTTTTAAGCCAATCAGATACCCTACGGGCTCGGAAAGTGCAACGAAACCATCAAATTTTAGCTAGAAACTGTATTTTTGTCGATTTTTATTGAATTTGAACTATATTTCAACGTTTTTTGATGGTTCTGAGCCACCAAACACACTTAAAGCATGCAGAATCGACTCAGAATAGGAAAAGGAGACGTTTAGGTCAATTTTATGCATTCTGGCGTTCGTAGATACAAGAAAACTGTTAAAATTCTTCAGAAACGTCACTTTTGAAGTGTTTTCTTGTACTTTTAAGCCAATCAGATACCCTACGGGCTCGGAAAGTGCAACGAAACCATCAAATTTTAGCTAGAAACTGTATTTTTGTCGATTTTTATTGAATTTGAACTATATTTCAACGTTTTTTGATGGTTCTGAGCCACCAAACACACTTAAAGCATGCAGAATCGACTCAGAATAGGAAAAGGAGACGTTTAGGTCAATTTTATGCATTCTGGCGTTCGTAGATACAAGAAAACTGTTAAAATTCTTCAGAAGCGTCACTTTTGAAGTGTTTTCTTGTACTTTTAAGCCAATCAGATACCCTACGGGCTCGGAAAGTGCAACGAAACCATAAAATTTTAGCTAGAAACTGTATTTTTGTCGATTTTTATTGAATTTGAACTATATTTCAACGTTTTTTGATGGTTCTGAGCCACCAAACACACTTAAAGCATGCAGAATCGACTCAGAATAGGAAAAGGAGACGTTTAGGTCAATTTTATGCATTCTGGCGTTCGTAGATACAAGAAAACTGTTAAAATTCTTCAGAAACGTCACTTTTGAAGTGTTTTCTTGTACTTTTAAGCCAATCAGATACCCTGCGGGCTCGGAAAGTGCAACGAAACCATCAAATTTTAGCTAGAAACTGAATTTTTGTCGATTTTTATTGAATTTGAACTATATTTCAACGTTTTTTGATGGTTCTGAGCCACCAAACACACTTAAAGCATGCAGAATCGACTCAGAATAGGAAAAGGAGACGTTTAGGTCAATTTTATGCATTCTGGCGTTCGTAGATACAAGAAAACTGTTAAAATTCAATCAATCAATCAATCAATCAATTTATTGTGCTTAAATGTACACACATTTTACACTCGTCAAAATACAGAGATAACATAAATGTCATTTACAATGTTTGATAGTAATAAATCAAGAAAAGTTGTACAGAAGAAAGAAAACATTTAGAACATGATACACATTATTGCATGGATACATTGATGTCGTTCAGAAACTGATCATAGTTATAGTAGGCTTTGTTAATCAGAAAGTTTTTTACGACCTTCTTAAAATTAACTGTATCTAACTTTCTAATCGACTCAGGAAGTTTGTTGAAAAATTTGATACCCAAGTATTGAGTACTGTTCTGTGACGACTTTAAACGTATGTGCCTCAGACATAAGTTTTCCTTATGTCGTGTGTCGTATTCATGGTTGTCTTTGTGTTTGGAGTATGTGTTTATATTTAGTCTCAGATTGATCAAGCTGTTAAAAATGAATATGCAGGGCACCGTAAGAATTCTTAATTTTTGAAACATACGCTTACAATCATCTCTGTAGCCAAGACTTCCCACTATTCGGACTGCCCGTCTCTGTAATCTAAATATGTTCGTCATCATGCTTGAGTGACCCCATGCTAAGATACCATAACTTATATTACTATGGCATAATGCAAAATAAGCTACTTTTAATGTCTCTATCGGAAGCTTTCTACTTAGATTTCTCAACGCAAATATTCCTGTAGAAATTTTCTTAGCTAGGTTCTCACCGTGTGTATGAAACCTCATTTTTGCGTCTAGTGTTATCCCTAAAAAGTTTGTCTCTTTAACTATGTCTGTAGGTAGTGGGCCGGTGTTTTTTAGAGTGAATGCGACTTTAACCGTTTTATTTTTGTTTAGGGTTAGTTTGTTTGTTGTAAACCAATGAGTTGCCTTCAATTCTATTTCCTCATTGCGATTTAGGGCCTCTGCGAATGTAGCTTCATTAGTTAATAAGTTCGTGTCATCCGCAAATAGTACAGTTTTTGTGTTTAGAAAGAAGGGAAAATCGTTGATATAAATGAGAAATAATAATGGGCCCAGGACTGACCCTTGGGGCACTCCTAGTACCACTGGTAGCTTTTCCGATTCCCTGTTATTATGTCTTACTGACTGAAGCCTATTTACCAAGTAGGATGTTATCATGCTGCAAGCGAGAGGATGTAAATTGTAGCAGTATAACTTTCTTATTAGTTCTGAGTGGGAGACGCAATCGAAGGCTTTTGACAAGTCTAAAAAGCAACCGATGCTATATCTGCCGCGCTCTAGGCAATCTCCGATAAAACTTGTGAGATCAAGAATGGCTTTGGTTGTATCTCGACCTTTTCGGAAGCCGTACTGACTATTGGAGAGAACATTACCATCTTCAAGGAAGTTACTCAATTGGTCATAAAGTATCCTTTCTAGAATCTTAGAGAAGACTGGTAGAAGTGAGATCGGTCTATAGTTAGTAGGGTCGTTTCTATTACCTTTTTTATGGACTGGTATCACTGCAGCGATTTTGAGACAGTCTGGGAATGTTGTGGTCCTTATGCATTCATTTATTAATCTAGTTATTGGTGAAATGATGGTGTCTTTCATAGATTTAATAATATTGACGCTTATGTTATAACAATCTTTTGAATTGCTATTTTTTAGTTTGCTAATGGTGTCTCTAACAGCTACACTGGAGACTTCTGAGAAATTAAAATATTTAGAATTATTACAGTGCATGTTGCAGTTCTTAATAATTAAGTCAATGGGATCTTGAGTAGCTATAGGAAGTGTTTTTATTGAATTTGGCCCGATATTAGTAAAGAACTTGTTGAAATCGTCATTTGAAATTTCACAGTTTGCCTCACTACCTATCAATGAATTTTTATTTCGGTTGTTATTTATTACTTGCCAAATTGCTTTACTTTTATTATTCGATTTATCTATAAAACTCTTGGTGTAGTTTACTTTTTTTATTTTAATTGTTTCTTGATAAAGGTGTCGACATTTATTTCTAGCCTTTCTAGTCACGTCCGTTTGAACAATTTTATGAAACTCGTCAAGAAATGATAATTCTTCGCGTATTTTTCGCAATTCGTCATCAAACCACTTAATGTCCATTTTGCTATGGTTGGTTTGTTTCAGGATTTTTTCTGGGAAGGCAAGATTCATGTTGTCGATAATTTCCTTTATAAACAATGTAAACTTAGTATTGATATCAAGGGTTTTATCGTCAACAAAGTACCAGTCAGCTTTACTTATATTATTGTATAATTTACACTTGCCTAGTTTAGTAATCGGGCGGCACTTATAAGTAACATGTTTGCTCTTAGCGTCAGATACAGTTAATTTGAAGTCTATACCTAAATGATCAGACATTAGGCTATTGAACGGTTTTACACTATAGCTTAGAGTGTGAATGTTGGTAAAAATGTTATCAAGAGTATTATTGCCCCTGGTCGCGAATTTTACGATGGGATACAAGCCAAATTCAGTTAAGGTGTTACAAAGTTTTAGTTCTAGCATGCTATTAGTGTTGAAATGTATGTTAAAATCTCCACTTAGGATAACATTGTTTTTGACTACATCTATTGTATCCAGTACATCAACAATAATTTCACAAAACAGATTAAAATCACCAGATGGCGGCCGGTATATATTTATAACAATAAGTTTGCAAGAGTTGACTAGTGATGCTGAGATTTCACAATGATTTTCAATAGACATATTTTCCAGATTATGTAGAGTAGTATATTGTAAATTATGTGCTGCAAATAAGAGGGAACCTCCATAATTACTCAACTTACGGCAAAAACTGGATGCTACGTGCATATTTTCGATAGAAAGGTTGTCCACTTCCGCGTCGTTTAGCCAATGTTCGCAGATAGCCGCCAACGAGAAATTTCCCTGGTGTAACAGTAGTTCAAACTCTTGGAGTTTTGATCTAATTGATTGCGAATTAAGCACAAGGATTCTTAGCTCTTTAGTTGTTGTTGTCGGGGTGGGTGAAAAAACCTGTTAATTCGTGTTCCCTTAGGCCATATTTCCGATTTCATAACGGTTTCCAACTCATCAAAGTCCAAAGTTAGTTTGAAACTGGAATAGAGGTCCGGATACTTTGAATTCAATTTTTCGATATCAAATTCGTTAAGATAGGATTTCAGATGTTCTTGCATCTGTTCTTTAGTTGTTTTAGGAGATAATCTGTATACGTGAATATAAGCTTTTTTTGAGATAGCTTCCAGACGTGTAGTTCCAGGAAGAGATCCAATAACTGTTGATTTGAGTTGTCGTTTTTTGATTTTGGTATCAATAATAGGCTGATCCTTTTTTTCGTCAGAGGCTTGCTTAACCTTAGATTTATTCCAAGGAGTTGTCTTAGGTTTGTTATTGATGTTTGTTGTTATTAAGGTAGGTGGTTCCTTATCGTTGGTGTTTTTCTGAGCAATGGCGTTTGTTTCTCTTTTTTTTTCGTTGTTCGGTTTCTCGTTACCTTTAATGATGTTTTTGCTTGTGGTACCTGTAGAGGCTGCCATGGAAAGTTGATTATTTAGTAGCTGTATTTGCTGTCTTAGTTCATCAATAATAATGTCCTTTTGTTTTATTATGTACGTAAAGATTCTGAGGTCCATACCCGTGTTCGGCTGCTGTTGGAGACGATTAACTGCGTCCCAGAAGTCGGGGTCTGTCATTTCTGTAATGGTGTCTTCGTTTTCACAACAAGTAAAAGTTGTTCCATCGTCCGAGTATTTGGCAGAGTTCTTTGCACAGCTAGGATGAAATGGTTGCTGGCACTTTACGCATTTTACACTAGTCACTACTTTATTTTTGCACTTTTTACACAGCGCACTACTATCCGTGTCTGTGTTCTTTGTCGCCATCTTGATGAGCTCAGCAGAAAAAGAAAAATTCTTCAGAAACGTCACATTTGAAGTGTTTTCTTGTACTTTTAAGCCAATCAGATACCCTACGGGCTCGGAAAGTGCAACGAAACCATCAAATTTTAGCTAGAAACTGTATTTTTGTCGATTTTTATTGAATTTGAACTATATTTCAACGTTTTTTGATGGTTCTGAGCCACCAAACACACTTAAAGCATGCAGAATCGACTCAGAATAGGAAAAGGAGACGTTTAGGTCAATTTTATGCATTCTGGCGTTCGTAGATACAAGAAAACTGTTAAAATTCTTCAGAAACGTCACTTTTGAAGTGTTTTCTTGTACTTTTAAGCCAATCAGATACCCTACGGGCTCGGAAAGTGCAACGAAACCATCAAATTTTAGCTACAAACTGTATTTTTGTCGATTTTTATTGAATTTGAACTATATTTCAACGTTTTTTGATGGTTCTGAGCCACCAAACACACTTAAAGCATGCAGAATCGACTCAGAATAGGAAAAGGAGACGTTTAGGTCAATTTTATGCACTCTGGCGTTCGTAGATACAAGAAAACTGTTAAAATTCTTCAGAAACGTCACTTTTGAAGTGTTTTCTTGTACTTTTAAGCCAATCAGATACCCTACGGGCTCGGAAAGTGCAACGAAACCATCAAATTTTAGCTAGAAACTGTATTTTTGTCGATTTTTATTGAATTTGAACTATATTTCAACGTTTTTTGATGGTTCTGAGCCACCAAACACACTTAAAGCATGCAGAATCGACTCAGAATAGGAAAAGGAGACGTTTAGGTCAATTTTATGCATTCTGGCGTTCGTAGATACAAGAAAACTGTTAAAATTCTTCAGAAACGTCACTTTTGAAGTGTTTTCTTGTACTTTTAAGCCAATCAGATACCCTACGGGCTCGGAAAGTGCAACGAAACCATCAAATTTTAGCTAGAAACTGTATTTTTGTCGATTTTTATTGAATTTGAACTATATTTCAACGTTTTTTGATGGTTCTGAGCCACCAAACACACTTAAAGCATGCAGAATCGACTCAGAATAGGAAAAGGAGACGTTTAGGTCAATTTTATGCATTCTGGCGTTCGTAGATACAAGAAAACTGTTAAAATTCTTCAGAAACGTCACTTTTGAAGTGTTTTCTTGTACTTTTAAGCCAATCAGATACCCTACGGGCTCGGAAAGTGCAACGAAACCATCAAATTTTAGCTAGAAACTGTATTTTTGTCGATTTTTATTGAATTTGAACTATATTTCAACGTTTTTTGATGGTTCTGAGCCACCAAACACACTTAAAGCATGCAGAATCGACTCAGAATAGGAAAAGGAGACGTTTAGGTCAATTTTATGCATTCTGGCGTTCGTAGATACAAGAAAACTGTTAAAATTCTTCAGAAACGTCACTTTTGAAGTGTTTTCTTGTACTTTTAAGCCAATCAGATACCCTACGGGCTCGGAAAGTGCAACGAAACCATCAAATTTTAGCTAGAAACTGTATTTTTGAAGATTTTTATTGAATTTGAACTATATTTCAACGTTTTTTGATGGTTCTGAGCCACCAAACACACTTAAAGCATGCAGAATCGACTCAGAATAGGAAAAGGAGACGTTTAGGTCAATTTTATGCATTCTGGCGTTCGTAGATACAAGAAAACTGTTAAAATTCTTCAGAAACGTCACTTTTGAAGTGTTTTCTTGTACTTTTAAGCCAATCAGATACCCTACGGGCTCGGAAAGTGCAACGAAACCATCAAATTTTAGCTAGAAACTGTATTTTTGTCGATTTTTATTGAATTTGAACTATATTTCAACGTTTTTTGATGGTTCTGACCCACCAAACACACTTAAAGCATGCAGAATCGACTCAGAATAGGAAAAGGAGACGTTTAGGTCAATTTTATGCATTCTGGCGTTCGTAGATACAAGAAAACTGTTAAAATTCTTCAGAAACGTCACTTTTGAAGTGTTTTCTTGTACTTTTAAGCCAATCAGATACCCTACGGGCTCGGAAAGTGCAACGAAACCATCAAATTTTAGCTAGAAGCTGTATTTTTGTCGATTTTTATTGAATTTGAACTATATTTCAACGTTTTTTGATGGTTCTGAGCCACCAAACACACTTAAAGCATGCAGAATCGACTCAGAATAGGAAAAGGAGACGTTTAGGTCAATTTTATGCATTCTGGCGTTCGTAGATACAAGAAAACTGTTAAAATTCTTCAGAAACGTCACTTTTGAAGTGTTTTCTTGTACTTTTAAGCCAATCAGATACCCTACGGGCTCGGAAAGTGCAACGAAACCATCAAATTTTAGCTAGAAACTGTATTTTTGTCGATTTTTATTGAATTTGAACTATATTTCAACGTTTTTTGATGGTTCTGAGCCACCAAACACACTTAAAGCATGCAGAATCGACTCAGAATAGGAAAAGGAGACGTTTAGGTCAATTTTATGCATTCTGGCGTTCGTAGATACAAGAAAACTGTTAAAATTCTTCAGAAACGTCACTTTTGAAGTGTTTTCTTGTACTTTTAAGCCAATCAGATACCCTACGGGCTCGGAAAGTGCAACGAAACCATCAAATTTTAGCTAGAAACTGTATTTTTGTCGATTTTTATTGAATTTGAACTATATTTCAACGTTTTTTGATGGTTCTGAGCCACCAAACACACTTAAAGCATGCAGAATCGACTCAGAATAGGAAAAGGAGACGTTTAGGTCAATTTTATGCATTCTGGCGTTCGTAGATACAAGAAAACTGTTAAAATTCTTCAGAAACGTCACTTTTGAAGTGTTTTCTTGTACTTTTAAGCCAATCAGATACCCTACGGGCTCGGAAAGTGCAACGAAACCATCAAATTTTAGCTAGAAACTGTATTTTTGTCGATTTTTATTGAATTTGAAGTATATTTCAACGTTTTTTGATGGTTCTGAGCCACCAAACACACTTAAAGCATGCAGAATCGACTCAGAATAGGAAAAGGAGACGTTTAGGTCAATTTTATGCATTCTGGCGTTCGTAGATACAAGAAAACTGTTAAAATTCTTCAGAAACGTCACTTTTGAAGTGTTTTCTTGTACTTTTAAGCCAATCAGATACCCTACGGGCTCGGAAAGTGCAACGAAACCATCAAATTTTAGCTACAAACTGTATTTTTGTCGATTTTTATTGAATTTGAACTATATTTCAACGTTTTTTGATGGTTCTGAGCCACCAAACACACTTAAAGCATGCAGAATCGACTCAGAATAGGAAAAGGAGACGTTTAGGTCAATTTTATGCACTCTGGCGTTCGTAGATACAAGAAAACTGTTAAAATTCTTCAGAAACGTCACTTTTGAAGTGTTTTCTTGTACTTTTAAGCCAATCAGATACCCTACGGGCTCGGAAAGTGCAACGAAACCATCAAATTTTAGCTAGAAACTGTATTTTTGTCGATTTTTATTGAATTTGAACTATATTTCAACGTTTTTTGATGGTTCTGAGCCACCAAACACACTTAAAGCATGCAGAATCGACTCAGAATAGGCAAAGGAGACGTTTAGGTCAATTTTATGCATTCTGGCGTTCGTAGATACAAGAAAACTGTTAAAATTCTTCAGAAACGTCACTTTTGAAGTGTTTTCTTGTACTTTTAAGCCAATCAGATACCCTACGGGCTCGGAAAGTGCAACGAAACCATCAAATTTTAGCTAGAAACTGTATTTTTGTCGATTTTTATTGAATTTGAACTATATTTCAACGTTTTTTGATGGTTCTGAGCCACCAAACACACTTAAAGCATGCAGAATCGACTCAGAATAGGAAAAGGAGACGTTTAGGTCAATTTTATGCATTCTGGCGTTCGTAGATACAAGAAAACTGTTAAAATTCTTCAGAAACGTCACTTTTGAAGTGTTTTCTTGTACTTTTAAGCCAATCAGATACCCTACGGGCTCGGAAAGTGCAACGAAACCATCAAATTTTAGCTAGAAACTGTATTTTTGTCGATTTTTATTGAATTTGAACTATATTTCAACGTTTTTTGATGGTTCTGAGCCACCAAACACACTTAAAGCATGCAGAATCGACTCAGAATAGGAAAAGGAGACGTTTAGGTCAATTTTATGCATTCTGGCGTTCGTAGATACAAGAAAACTGTTAAAATTCTTCAGAAACGTCACTTTTGAAGTGTTTTCTTGTACTTTTAAGCCAATCAGATACCCTACGGGCTCGGAAAGTGCAACGAAACCATCAAATTTTAGCTAGAAACTGTATTTTTGAAGATTTTTATTGAATTTGAACTATATTTCAACGTTTTTTGATGGTTCTGAGCCACCAAACACACTTAAAGCATGCAGAATCGACTCAGAATAGGAAAAGGAGACGTTTAGGTCAATTTTATGCATTCTGGCGTTCGTAGATACAAGAAAACTGTTAAAATTCTTCAGAAACGTCACTTTTGAAGTGTTTTCTTGTACTTTTAAGCCAATCAGATACCCTACGGGCTCGGAAAGTGCAACGAAACCATCAAATTTTAGCTAGAAACTGTATTTTTGTCGATTTTTATTGAATTTGAACTATATTTCAACGTTTTTTGATGGTTCTGACCCACCAAACACACTTAAAGCATGCAGAATCGACTCAGAATAGGAAAAGGAGACGTTTAGGTCAATTTTATGCATTCTGGCGTTCGTAGATACAAGAAAACTGTTAAAATTCTTCAGAAACGTCACTTTTGAAGTGTTTTCTTGTACTTTTAAGCCAATCAGATACCCTACGGGCTCGGAAAGTGCAACGAAACCATCAAATTTTAGCTAGAAGCTGTATTTTTGTCGATTTTTATTGAATTTGAACTATATTTCAACGTTTTTTGATGGTTCTGAGCCACCAAACACACTTAAAGCATGCAGAATCGACTCAGAATAGGAAAAGGAGACGTTTAGGTCAATTTTATGCATTCTGGCGTTCGTAGATACAAGAAAACTGTTAAAATTCT